TTGAAAAAGAGCATCTTTAGCCCTTTATGAAAGTGAAAGTGAAAGTCGCTCAGTCATGTCTGACTCTTTGCGACCCCAGGGACTATACAGTCTGTGGAATTCTCCAGAATACTGGAGTGGGTAGCCTTTCCCTTCTCCAGGGGATGGATCTCCCCAACCCAGGGATCAAACCCAGGTCTCCCACATTGCAGGCGGATTCTTTACCAGCCGAGCCACAAGGGAAGCCCTTTGCACCTTACTCTTCAGAGACAGTTATTTTTACAATTTCCAAATTCACCTGCACCTCTGTTCTCCACGAGATCTGCCCATCTCTTCCAGCTATGCCAGACTGCGCCAAAACAGGAGAAAACAAGAAGAGACTATGTATGTCATTCATGTCAGCTGAGAGATAAGCTGAGAAAGCAAAAATTGTATGACGGAGGAATAAACTGGACCATCATTTGAAAAAAAATTCTTCTCTTTCAAGCTATATATAACTTATCCTTTGTAAACTGAGTGAGATTATTAATAGTAATAATTACAGTAACAACTTTCCTGACATTCCTCTATGTCAGTAACTTCAAAGTCCTCCTCAAACTTGAACTCATTTCATCTTTTTGACAGTCTCATCCATTAGTCAGGACAGAGCTTATTATTTTCTCTCTGCTTCCCACCTCTGCAGTTACTTCCTGCTGCTCTTTGCAAACCTGATGCACCAGATTCAGAGAAGTAGAACTCCTGCCTTGAACACCTAGAAGTCATTATGCTTGGGCAGCATGCTTGGGCTATGTTAGAACATTTCTGCTGTGGTTAGCATCGCCTTAGAGACAGATCACTAAAAAGCTCAGGTCAGGTAACTTAGTATTGCTGAAGTGATGCTACTTTTTTGAAATAGAGACAAATGACAGTATAAAAATGGATAGCGTGACTTAATTCTTGAAATTTTATTCTCAGTTATATCACAGAGTGATTTCAATTCCTACCATTTCTCCAGTAAATTAGCCACTGATAATCATAATTATGACCCTTAGGTGCAATGTGACAATGAAATGTCTCCTGAATTATTAAAAGAGTGTTAATTTATGTCTATGTATGTCATTTTGAGGATTTTACTGCATTATCATTTTTTGAAAATTGGTCACCTGTACATATGATATATATGTAAGATTAAATTTTAGTAATGGTAATATTTTTTAGAAGAAAGCCATATTCCTAGTGTTGAATAAACATGATTATATTTTATGTGGATTTGTCCACTAGATTTCTGTTTGGTGTCCATGACATATTTGCTCATTAGATCTAGGTTGTTATTTGAGAAGAAATAATGCCAAGCATTTGTATGAGGCTTTATTATGAACCAATGCTTTCATTGCCATATACACTGCCCAATTTATTATGTAAGCTTCAAGAGGTATTATTACCAACATTTTATAAAGTAAGCCTCAGGGAGTATGTGTGGTTTGCTCAAAGCCACATGGCTAATAAGTGGTAGAGAGGAAACCCAATCCCATCTGTTCAAGTCAAGAATTTTTTCCATCAAACCCACAGCCATCTCAGAAACTGGTCTCCCAGAATTGTGGCAGGAGTTTCAGCCAGCATTGGCCTCTCTACTCGTAAACCCATCTGGCAGAGTTCTTTTCCTAGAGCTTGTCAGAGGAGTTAATATCAACCAACAGATCCAAGATTCAGAAAACTTGTTGTAATCCCGATTATCAGTGAAAAGGGATAATGTCCCCAATATTAGATTGCATTCCATCCACCTGGAGAGGTGCATAGAATGCAGCATTTCGCAGAGAGATGACTTTATTTATCCAACAATACAACCAAGATTGTGATAAAGCGGGACCGTTTGTAATAGCTTTTTACCATATATGAGAATAGTCAGCTTTGAAAGGAACTGGAGATGTGGGCATTCTCCATTTACCCTGGATACAAAACAGATTTTCTGCTTTTGATGAAAAGAACAGGCAGTGCCCATTCTAAGGACAGAGTAGGAAATGAGAGCTCTGAGCGCAAGGTTTTATCATCACCTCCTGGTTTTATTTTTTCCAGTCTAGTCAGAATGCTGCTTTGAAACAAGCTGCCCTGACATTAAAAAGTGACATAGAAAAGTCACTGCCTTGAACTTGCTCATATGAAAAGTGGTACAAGAAGGTGAGGGTCACCTCAGAGGGAGAAGTGCCTTCCCCGTTAATAATTACCCATAAGGAACAAGCAGTGTTTGGGAGGCAGGGCTGAACTCAGAGAAATAGAAATCTGAAACATTAGAGCGGACCTCTGCTTGTCCATGAGACATGACTGATGCTGAATGCAAATTTCCAACTAGAATAAAACTCATAACAAAGCTTTCTGCACTCATCCATCCTGGAACAGTAAAGAGCATGGTCTCGTATTTACTAAGCCATTTCTAATTACTTCTGACAAGTCAAATACACTGAGGACATAAAGAAGAGAAGATTGGGGAGGGGGGTTATGTGATGTCAGTCTTCAAAGAATTGAACAAGTGGCCCTAGAAATGAGGCCCCATTTCCTTAAGGCTGACACTACCACCTAATACACCCACAGAGAAAATACTGAAAGGAATCTTGTCAATATTCAAGGACTAGTGTAATTTTGAACAATCAGGCATAATGGCAAGATCAAGCTTGATGTCATGCTGTACGGCTTGTCATTTTGTGAAATTATAAAACTTGTGAATGAAAGGGAAGGAGAAATATTTAACTGTGGAGTAGAGGTAAGGAGATGAATACAGGAAGCCTGAGATTCCAGTTTTATCTCATCTGACCTTACTGATAGGCAGGTTATTCCACTGAGTCAAAATAGTAGAAATGAAACAACCAAAGTTTCCAAAGAAAATAATTTCTAGTTTCACCACAGATAAAGATAAGTGTTGTATTTGGAACATCTGAGATATGTTGTCTCCTTAAAATTTATGATCAGAATTAATTCACATTCATCCCACTAAGAACCAAATCACCTGGGTTTAATCTGTGTGAGCAATCATAAAAAAAAGGGTAATGAGAAATGACAGCAGGTCCACAGAGTGGTCAGTGAGGACCACTCGGCAGATCTGAGTTTCTCTTCTCCTTTTTTTTTTTTTCTTTTGTAACTTTCCATTTGGTGTTGGGAAATCAGTGTCATTGGTTGATGTTTGCACATGACAAGAAACAAGTGACATGCTTTCTAAAATCACTCCGGTTAAAGGATTTAAGTTACCTTAGTGAAAAGTGGAAGTACTAGTTGCTTCAATCATGTCTGCCTCTTTGTGACCCCATGGACTGTATAGTCCACCAGGCTATTCTGTCCATGGAATTCTCCAGGCAAGAATACTAGAGTGGGTAGCCATTCCCTTTCTCCAGGGGATCTTTCTGACTCTGGGATGGAACTGGGGTCTCTGGTATTACAGGCAGATTCTTTACCATCTGAACCACCAGGGAAGCGTTCAGCTCAGTTCAGTTCAGTTCAGTTGCTCAGTTGTGTCCGACTCTTTGCGACCCCATGAATCACAGCACGTCAGGCCTCCCTGTCCATCACTGACTCCTGGAGTTTACTCAAACACATGTCCATCCAGTCGGTGATACCATCCAGCTATCTCATCCTCTGTCGTCCCCTTCTCCTCCTGCCCCCAATCCCTCCCAAGATCAGGGTTTTTTCAAATGAGTCAGCTCTTCACATGAGGTGGCCAAAGTATTGAAGTTTCAGCTTCAGCATCAGTCCTTCTAATGAACACCCAGGACTGATCTCCTTTAGGATGGACTGGTAGGATCTCCTTGCAGTCCAAGGGACTCTCAAGAGTCTTCTCCAACACCACAGTTCAAAAGCATCAATTCTTCAGCCCTCAGCTTTCTTCACAGTCCAACTCTCACATCCATACATGACCACTGGAAAAACAATAGCCTTAAGTAGATGGACCTTTGTTGGCAAAGTAATGTCTCTGCTTTTTAATATGCTATCTAGGTTGATCATAACTTTCCTTCCAAGGAGTAAGCCTCTTTTAATTTCATGGCTGCAGCCCTAAATAGCCTTAAATGAGACCTAAATATATGGCGATGAGGAAAAATAACACTGCTACAAGAAAATGAGAATTTTATTTGTGAAGGATAATTTTGTGCCTGGCACATCACTCCATTGATTTAATTATGCTTGCAGATAGAAAGCCTGAGCGTGGGCTAACCTTCCCATGGCGTTGCTGAGACAGTCCATTTCTTTGCTCCGGATGGCTCAGCATTTCAAGTGAGAAACCAAACTGTGCTCTTTGGCTTCTCGCCACCCGTGTTCTCCACGTCCTCTGGCTGCGGAACACCAGGTAGGACACCTCCTCACACCTCTGTCATTCGTGTAGATAATTCCCAGCTGAGGCGGCTGACCTGTCTTGCCAGTAGAAGACAGTTGTTTCCAGGACTCCATCTTCCTCAGAATAATTGAGTTGCTATCAGGAAATGTACTTCTTCTGTAACACTTCAGCCACCTTCTTCTACCTTCATGAGTTCTAATCCTAGAATTGCCCCGACTCCATGATCTTTTAGGCTGATGGCTTTCTGGGATGCACCATCATTATCTGGAGAACTGGAGACTGATTATTGCTAAAACTTCCTTTCAGAATGAAAGGTTTGTGTGTTTGCAGTGAGCCTTCTGGAGGTTGACGGTGGTAAGCTTCCAGAGGCGCACATGTAGGATCAAAGTGAACACCTTGTGTATTTGTCTTACCATGCCTCTTTCTGTCTCTTTATGCCAGATGAGACTACACTCTGATCCCTTTATTCGAAATTTTAATTCTTGACTAGCTTTTTACATCAATGCTTTCTTCTCCTCAGGATTGTCAGAGAGCACCTATCCCATGTGTGGGGCACTGGGAAACGAGACAAGTGCTCCCCACCCCACACCCTGCTCACTGCCAGCCCCTTGGGGACCAGCAAGTGGTTCTCAAGGCCCATGGTCCCTAGAACAAAAAAGGATAGTCACTGTATCCTGGGAATATTCAGTGCATCCTGGGAATATCCAGGTGAAAGTGTGAGCTTTACCTCAAATAGCTTCTCTGTAGTTCTCTTTGGGGGCCTCCAGTCTTCTTGTTCTCTCTCTGGTGACCGTGTCCATTTTAGAACTGAAAGAAGAAAAGGTTCCAATCTGTTCCTTTTTCTTTGTATAATTCACAGAAGAGCCCGATGCTAGTGGGCATTCTGCGAGTCATCTTCTTCTAGTGCTTACATTACTCTCTCTTCGATGGAAATTTCTATTTCGGGTTCCTAAGTAGCCATTTCTAAGTCTCCCTTTGACCTGAAAGAGTTAGGGCTTAAGCATAAGCCTAAGTTTTTAGAATCTAAAGAAAAGAAGGGAGCAGAGAAGGAAAAGATAAGTGGGGAGTGTGGACACTTCCTGCTGCTGTTGTTAAAGTTGCATCTTTGTTGTCTGCGTCAGTGTCTCTTCAGTAATTCTGTGCAAAAATATGAATTGTGATATAAAAGACAAACAATTAAGCAAGTCATCCTTTTGTGCTACTTAAAAGTGAACCATATAGAAAAGCCTACTGGCTCTTGAAGTTAGTTTCTGACAAAATTTTAAGCTCTGATGATTTTTTCATATTCTGTAATTTGTCTGTGCTTTCACCAAATAGAGGGGAATGAAATTATTTGTGGAGCTATGTCACGGTGAATTTTAAAAACCAAATTGTCCCTAGGTTGAAAGAATTGCCTGTGACCACAACCAATATTCCTAAAATCTATATTAATGCTTTTACACTGAAATGGTAAAACTTTTGATGGTACGTGCTTAGTTGCAGCTCAAGTCTAATCTATACAAACTAAATGTAATAATAACAAGACTATATATATATTTTTTGAGTGCTTGCTACATGCCATGCACTAGGTTAAGCATTTTATGGGGATTAGTTCATTTAATCCTCATAACCCTCAGTGGTAATACCGTTTTTATTCCCATTTTATAGATGAGGAAATTAGGTTGCTGAGAGATATTAGTAAATAGCTCATGCAACTTGTCAAAAGTAGTACTGTTAGGAATTGACCTCAGGAGGCCTGATTCCATTAGACTACAATTAGGTACCTGCTCTACTGAAAGTCCCCATTCAATCATTTTCCATTCTTGCAGTTCCTTTTATGATTTGATATATATTTTGTGTTCTGTGAACATCTTCCAGAATTTAAGTTTTAAAGGAGTAAATAGTATCCCGAATGATGATCAGTGAGAATCCATTTTGCTCCGAGGTACATTGAACTTGTTCTGACAGAAGGAGATGCTGGCTCCATAGAGACAAAAATGCCCCAAGAAGAAGTGGATAAATGAGCCTGGGGCTCATTCATACCACGTTTAGATATGAATCTCGATACATAATGACATTGGTTTGGTGGCTGTGGCCGGGCAAGGACAGGAAAATCAGTGTCACATGACTCTGAAGCCAGACTGCCTGGATTCAAATCCTTCCATTTTCAAATCCTATCAATTTCTGACCCAGAGTGAGTTCTGGCTCTGGAGTGAGTTCCTTGCTGCCTCTGTGACTGTTTCCTTATCTGTAAAGAGAGATAATAGCACCCACCTGACAGAGTTGTTCTAGGGATTAAATGAGTTCATGTCTATAAGGTATTTAGAACAGTGTCTGGCACACAGTAAGTACCAAGTGTGTTTGTTGTTTCATCATCATCATCACCACCATTGTCATCATGATATCTTCGTCACCACCGTCATCATGATGTCACCATCACCACTGTCGTCATGACGTCATTGTCATCATGACACGATCAACATCATGAGGTGCTCAGACACGGTGTGGCAAAAATATCAACAGTGGTTTTATATTTAGACATTCTTAGGGCTTTTTTGTGGCAAAAGATACCAGATTCAATTTATCTTAGATAGACTTGGCTATGTAAAGTGATTCTTAGATCATCTAGATTTATTCTGGTTTTAGAATGAGTGCTAGTTTAGAAGTTAGCCAACAAATGTCTTTTCATGACTCGGTCTGGAGGTGGGATTTTGCTCCCAGCCAAGGGGACCTTAGCATCTAACTCGAATGATTATTAAATGGAGAGACTAACCCCAAACCTAAAAATCTGAAGATAGGAGTAGCAAAAAAAGGGTACCTGCATTAGGGTAACTAGAGTTTGAGGGTTACATAGCATAAGCGTGGCTACTTTATTTTGGGGAACTGTAAAGTGAAGCTCTGACAGCACAGTTCTGATTCATTCCCACACATTCCTCCTTTCTTCAAAGGGTTGGAATGGATGATCCCTAACACACTCTGAGGCATCTGTGGGAGTGAGAGAGGCTTTGTTCCTTCAAGGCAATTTGGTCCAACACTCCCTGCTCACCCATGGGGGAATCCTGGCAAAATTCCAAATGTGATTAATGTTGTATCTATTATTTCACAGGGTGGAGTGTGTTTGGGTGGATGGAGGGGGAAGCCTATAATTTCATAGCTGTTAGAAGAACATTTCTGCTAAATCTCTTTTTATTCTAAAAATTAATGAAAGGATCTCCATGTTCAAGATGATTTGATGGTATAGTACTGTCCCCAGAATAGAATGCAATCCTGGTTGCTACTAAATCTTAATAGTGCAAGTAGAAGAGTGTAAATATTTCCTCCAAAATATCAATTACCATTTTGACCCATTTTTTGGTGAGGTTGAACTAATCTTTTTAATTAGTTGAACTCTGAAGATTGTTTTCAATAAATATAAAATCAGAGCTATAAGCTTTATCTAGACCAGTTAAGAAAAAGTACTGCATTTTAAAATCATGCCATCACTGTCTTGTTTAGGAAGAATATGACTTGGATTCAACCAAATGTTGAATTATCAACTATTTTAATACCCACATTCATTGTCACCTGTGAAGTGTGAGCATTCTTATTTTTTATAGGGTCTTTGAATTGCATCCGAAATGACTACCATGTAAATAAATGAGAATAACAATCACGCCATGCCTTTTTTGTCGTCATGGGTCGTTCTCATCAAATGCTTAGTAATTTCATTGCACTTGTGTAATTAGGTGCAGAACCTCCACCCGAGCCTCCACGGATCAGCTATGTGGACTCTAGCTGCCAAAGGCGCTTCTCCTTCTGAACCGAGCGCTTTGCTCAGCCAGTGTAGACATGGCCTGATAAACAATGGAACTTCTCCTTTGAGAACTGGAGTCTGGACTGATCTAATTCTTTAACTCAAGAATGTGCACAGGTTTGATGAGCAGTTAAAATGCCTACGTTTTAGTAAAACAGGAGCTTAAATTGACAGTAATGTGAAGAATACCATAACTTCTAATGAACTTGAAAGGCAGTAGCGCTCACTGTTGCGCAAGCAAATCAAGGGACGATCAAATCAAAGTTTTAACATGAGCTTAAATATCTGTGGCAGGGAGGTTGTTCTTGCAGGTTTATATCTGTCAGGTCTCACCACTAAGCCTGTCACGGGCAGCATGGCTATGTCACTTTTCACCAAGATGCCACATGTCACGTATATTGTGAGAAACAGCCTGCTTTGTTTTCCTCTCTAGGATTTTACAAGGAAAAGCGAAGGAAAAGGGAATTTGTTTTAACACTGCATTTTTTATCTTGCAGATTTGCAGCCTCATGGAGTGAGTGACGGAGTGGTTTGCCAACTTGTAGTGACTCCACTCAGCCGCGCAGAATGGCTGCAGGAAATGTGTATTCAGATAAGCCCAAAGAAGTCTGCCCAGGGTGAAACATGTACCTTTGAAGTTTAAATCAGGTGTGTGAAGAATGCTGGAAACATGACTTCTTGGGTCTAGATTTTTTTTATGTATATATTTATGTTTCTCAAGGAAACTGATGACTCTTGCCTGTTCTCCTAGCTCTTTTAATGTTAAAGAACACACCCCAAATTGTAACCCACCCTCTCTCCTAGGATTCGATATGCTCTATTCCACTGCCCGTAAGGGTCTTCTGTTTTATCAGAACTTTTGATTTTCAATGCATGATTGTGATTTTTCATATTTATAAAAGGTTTTGATTTTGGATGTATTTTTAAATTGGGAATTGAAGTTTGATAGGCTTTACCATTTGTCTGTTTTCTTAGAAAAATAAGTACTAATTTTAACATATGCGTTAGTTGCAAGATACTTAAGAAAGTTAACACTCAAGTTGTGTTTTAAAACTTTATGTTCATGTTATCCTTAAAAAGTTAAGTGGCTCAGAAAAATCAAGTGAAGCGAATGATTTTTTTTTAGAAAGTGTAAACCACATTTCCTTGCAGGATGAAGTTGTGCTTAATAGCCTCTTTAATTTATTCAGAAACTATACAACTTTTGTTGCTATATTTTGTTAGAAAGGAAGGAGAGGCTGTTTCTACAGGTGTCAGAGAAAAATCGATACTGAGCCACGGATTATTGAATCCCGTAGAACCATGGAGGCTTGGCAGTGAAATTCTTCCAAAGGTGAGTAAGGGCATTGATTTTCCTTCTCATACCAGAAGAAATATGACACAAGGAATGGAGGCTAAATTTAGACTGGAAACAAGTCTGACTTGAAACAATGCCTTTAGAAAATTGGTGACTTTTTTTTCTCAAAAAAATTAAATGAGCCAATCCAATGAGAATTTGGACCATATATTTTTCTCATATATTTTTCTTAGATTCACTTCTATTCTTTATTCCTTTGGGAAAAAAAAAATTGATCTTTTGACCAACATCTTATCTATAATTCAGATCCAGTGATTTCCTTGTGGAATACTTATATTGTACAATACAAAACAGTCTCTCTTATAAACTTATAACCAAGGGGGCAATATTCCTTCAGTTTCTAAGAAAAAGCATGTTACTTATGCAATCAAATTTAAAAATATGTGCCCATTACTGATCTTCCTAATTTAAACTGTGTATTCTTCCTGCCAATCTGTGCCAGAATTTTTAGACACATAGTTGCTTGTTTGTGTACTTATTTTAGGGTTTCTTCTAAATTTCACAAAGTTGAAAAACTATACCTAATGCATTGGTGGTTTGACTGCATTGCTTAGCGTTCCGTCCATGCAGGCAGATGGTGTTCCTAGGTTTGAAAACATAAATCCCAGGGGACGTGAGCTGAAGAACATTTTATGCATCACTCATCCTATTATGAGCCCTATGCTGCTCCATCTCTACAAGGTAAGCAATATATTGTGAGTTGGCTTCCGGCAGTTGAACATGATGTATGCTCATGGCTCTTGCTGCCAAGCATATGTTTTTGGAACTCATAATGGGGAGTATAGAAATCATTTTATAAGTAGAAGAATCACTGGAGCAGTTTAAGGTACTCACACGTGCTCTAGCTTGCTCATCTGTCCCCAGGTAGCATTTGATTGTTCTACCCTGGGACCTACATTCTATGGTATTTTCTTCCTCATGTGAAGTGAGGTGGTAAATTGGTCATTTTCATAATGAATTTGAACAGAGTAGATGATCAAGGAAGATAATTCAGGCCTCCAAGTAGAAAACTGCCAAATTACCACCACTTCGCTATGTCTAAGGGTAGATAAAATTCAGATTTTCACACTTTGTGGGATCAAAAATTGATTATAAGGAAGTTAAAAATATGAAATGCTAACAAGTTTGTGGTAATGTATAGCATTATCTTAATATTTCTTTCTTTTTGATATCCAGTGGGAAATTCTTAGCACGTTTTTTCTGATCTTGAACTTTCAGATTGGCTGAAGCAATAGCAACCACAAAAATTGTTTATAATTTGCATTCTAACTTTCCATCATTTGGTTAATACCCTGAATCTGATTACCCAAGAAAACAATGTTCTAAAAGAAAGACTATTAGAAAGTTGCCACTGCATTATTAGTGAATAACATGGAAAGTGCAACATTCTAGATTTCCCATCGTGTGAGGTAAGATTTTATTATGTCTCATTAAGTTGAGATTACAGTTAATTTTATTTATTATGATCCCAGCCCAAAGAAAATTTTGCATTTCAGTTTGACACAGAAAACCATAATATAAAGCTTTACATGCATTGTCTCAGCGGTGACCAGTTTGAGGGATTTAAACTAGGCTGTTTAATGTATTTTATTTCTGCATAAATTATGTTCTTTTTATTGTTTTCCCATCCTTTCCAGCTCAGACAATTATAACTCAGTGTATCATGCATATTTAAGCAAAAATAAATTATGTACATGGTAATTCTTTTGGGGGGAAAAGGCAAACTGTTCTCTAACCTTTGATGAAGTTTAACTTTTGATGTGTGAATTCTTAAATGTGATCAAACCAAAGACAATGAAATGCTTGCTTTGAAGTATTCTAAAATTAAAGTGGTAACTAAAGATTTCATGGTAAGTGGCAGCCTTGTGTTTACTGTTATAATAATATAAATTCTGCATGGGAAGAAAAAAGTACAAAATACGATGGAGAGGTGATGGAAGAGTCAGACATATGGAAAATTCCAGGTGCCCGTAGATACAGTGTGAAGATTCTCAAATATCTAGTTGTCTCTATTTGGTACAGATACTGTCATACATCAAAAAAGATCTCATTGGCTCTTTTTTGAAGCCCAAAAAGCTTAGTGTTTTTAACATCACTATGCTTTATGTTTATACAAAATTCTCCCACAATATGTACAATATATCTTATCGAAGTCTGAGCAATGTAATAGCAGCCATTCTTTCTTTGGATTAAGTACATCCTATGACTTTTCCTAACATGTTGCAAAGAAGAATTTCCACTAGATAATTTGTAGTTTGTAAAACATGAGTTTTTGAGGGGGAAAGTGGCAATTAATGGAAGCATAATTATCTTCAGTGTGAAAATAGTCTGGGAGGCCAGCTTGGGTGAGCAGTCTTCGGCTCATTACCATTTCCTTTGCTTGCTTTGTTCTCCTCCTTCGGATTCTTTCTGGATCCATCTCTCTTTTGTTTCCCTTTGACTCCACTGTTGTACTCCAGTTGGCCCTTAAAGAGCAGAAACCGAGCAGTAAGACTGCGTGGCGTGGCTACATTTTCCCAGCGCCACCATCTGAGAGTTAAGCTGACTAACGTGTTGAAAGCCCAGCCCATTTCGTTCACAGCAGGCGCGGCAGGTAAAAGCATTTCTGTATTAAAGTGCCTGCTTTCTTTCTTCAGGCTCTTGGTCTCATTTCTCTTGTTTGCCAGTTGGGGGGAGAAGCAAAAGTAGGTTGGGGACCAAATGCCTGGGGTATTTAATCAAATGCCCAGCGACTCTTGATTATAGGATACAGAAATTTCACTTTTGAGGATTAACTCTGGTGGATTTTGCTAATCCAAATGGGTATCTCCTTCTACTCAGCATGTTATTGGGCTACTTCCTACCACTGACTAAATCAGATGTCATGGAAGAATCTCAAGTAGTTTTAATAACTCCTGGGTTAGCAGAAACTAAATGTGCAGGGTGAAAATTACCATTAAATATAGGTTTTTGTGAGGGTTCACATTTTACGTGTTATTGTTTGCTTCTATTAAAACAAGAAATTGAGAATTGATTTCTTTGTGTTCTGTTAATTTGACTCCTCTTTCCTAAGTGGTAGGTATAAACCTCTTTAAATATTTTATGAAGATCACTTAATCAAGCAAATACCCTAACACGTATCACTGTATTGATCCCTGACCCTTTGACCTGTCACTCTGCCACGTTGGATGCCTTTTGCTGATATCCTTGCAGGGGAGAGTTTAGGGAGCAGAAGGCATGAAGAAAGGTGTTAGTCTTCTCCCTGCAGTGGGTTGTGGAATTGTCCCCTCGGAGGTGATTTCCCTGTGAGTGGCGAAATTGGGATGAATAATATCATTTTGCATTTGTACTGAATATGTTTCTAAGGAGGCTTAAGGGTACGATGTAAGTGTCATCTTGGAGGGATAAATGTAATATACATGTAAGGTGGGAAGACTAGTGCTCTGCGATACATCTGATTATTGAGATACAGCTGTAGCAAGCTTTATGAATAAATCAAAATATTCCTCAGATGGTGCCCACATGCCATATAATAAATGAATTTTACAAAACCTCTTCTTTCACTGGAGTTAGAGGCTATACTTGTACCTTCTTACAGTGAGGTATAAATTTAGTTTCTTTTATGTTCTGTGACCATCCTATGGCTATTTCTTATCAGACTCAATCAAAAGTTAACAGAGAGTGCCATGGAAAAATAACTCTCCTTTAAAATGTTAGCAAAAATTCAATTGATAAATATATGTTTTCACATATATTTTTTCATTTATATATATATATACATACACATGAATACATATATATGAATGATTAGACGCTTAAGGATATCCATGCTATGACTATATCTGAATTTTTTTCAGGAGTGTGAGGTCCCTCATTTTAGCCATTAGACAGATTATTTAGCCAATTTGACCTTAAGCTGACAAAGATTTTCTATTTATAAATATCCCTGGGGGTCCTTGAAGAATCTCTGACACTCATTTATTTTCTCAAGAAAGGTTTAGGATCAATACATTCAAAATATTTCAGATTATCATGTAGTTCTTTGCTTAGCTAAATCAACGTTGTCATGAGGATAGCCAGAGTCTTCAGGACACTTGAGACAGCTGGACTTTAGTGGATGAAGTGACCTCCCAGTGGTCTAATAGCATGAGATCTCACATCTGGTTAGTTAGTGCTTTCTGGTTTTCAAAACCCTGTCCCAGTATAGTCATGGTTGATAGCCATCCCTTCTATAGACAAGGGATAGAAGGGTGGGGTATAAGAATGATTTTTTTTTTTTTTTTGCATTTCTATCTTTTTGTATGTGTGTTTCTTTTTCTGATTTGTTGAATGCAACATGCTGGAGTACTAAGTGTCTTTCTTTTGTTTTTGGACCAAATAATTGCATGAATTATGAATCACAACATAATTGTCATGATGAGGACAGAGGGAAAGAAATGGTTACCTTTCAGTTACTGTGGTTCTTAGGGGCCATGGTGCTGCCTGTTAATGAGCTAAGAGGAAAGATGCACCATTTCTTTCTAATATAACATAAAGACAACAGATCCTTTAAGCCAATTCATGTTCAAATATGAAGGTCAGTGATCCATGACCAGCTTGCATATGTGCACACACATATTCATATGTATATACTTGTCCAGATTTTTCAGCCAAGTAATAAAAATGGTGGAAATGAGAGAACAGGGACTCTCTAGAGACTGGGGAGTGGGGTGCTGCCCCAAACAGGTGCCAGAGCAAGTCCATTTTTAATTTGAAGTTTTAGGTTAGATATCCACTTACATTTTTAAATATTTTATTCATTATGTATAGTGATTGCTTTATTATTTGAGAAACTTTTAATTTACTTTTCTTGGGCTCCACATTTACTGAGCTTCTCCTATGTGCCAAGCACTATCTTACTCCTCCCCCAGCACAGTCACATATTCTGGATAGTCCCGTCAAAGTCTGAAAAGCAGAGAGCAGAGATGTACGAGTTTGTGAGCCAGATGAATTGGCAATAAATAGGTGAAATGTAAATCACTGTAATTACCCACACTGTGTACATTTTCTACCTAGGGATTTTAGATGAGCATTGTCAGAATTTAGTAAAAAGCCCCATCAAATCTGTAGGATTTTGTTGAACTAAAAGCAATTCTTTTAGAAGGTTACATTTTTATTGTCTATTTTTCACAGCTACAGAAAGTTCTTTTTTTCCCATTTCTACTTTGATAGATGTTCCACACTTGAAGTTTTATGTCCTCCCACTTTCACTCTTTCTCCCCTTGTTTCCTGTTTTTCTGAAGGTGAACTGCTGCATTCTTTTCCTTCTTAATCCAATTTTTGTATACTTGATGTTTATTAAACCAGGAGATTAAGAGCATAATAAGTGGAAGGCTCTGGCTTCTTTGCTACTGAGTGCTAAGTGGCTTCAGTCATGTCCAACTCTTTGCGACCCCATGGACTGTAGTTCACCAGGCTCCTCTGTCCATAGGATTCTCCAGGCAAGAATACTGGAGTGGGTTACCGCGTCCTCCTCCAGGGGATCTTCTGGACCCAGGGACTGAATCCGCGTCTCTTACATCTCCTGCATTTGTAGGTGGGTTCTTTACCACTAGTGCCGCCTGGAACTGGGTGTAGAATATTGGGATGTGTGTGTGTGTGTGTGTGTGTGTGTGTGTGTGTGTATCATGATGAAAACACTGCAGCTTAAATTTGGTGCACAAAGGTAGTTGTTAAACTGAAATTAGATTGACTGGTTTGAATTCTTGTTTTACCACTTACTAGCTATAAAAACAGTTTCTAAACTTACTTCTTCAGCTATAAAATGAGGAAAGCAGTCATACCCACCCCCATTTGGTTGCTGTAAAGATTAAACAGAATAATGAGTGTAAAACACAGTGCTTGGTAGATAGTAAGAAGTCAATAAATACAAGCAGTGATCAGAGTATTACTAATTTTTCTTGCATGTCAGTGCAGATACATGCATACGCTGTTTACAGTTTTCTAACCAGTGCCTTACTCAAAGAATAATGGCTAATCTGAGGCAAAGTTGTGAAAAGTCAGTAGCTACCTTCAGCATTGCCAGCTTTTATTGAGTAAGCTGCCTTCTCTCCTGACTCTCTTTGAATGCCCGGTGCTTGCCTCTCTTCTTGCCTTTACTGGTAAAACCTCCTTTCAAGTAAGGACCTGAAAGTTATCCCCACAAAGGCCTAGATGACTGAGAGCATTTGAGCCGTTGTGTTTGTCAGGGTCACGGACCTCTTATCAAAGATCAGATGCAGAGCTGATGAGACTCCAGGCGCTGGGGAACAGCTCGAGAAGTTTGATCGACAGTGTGATGTCTCCTTTGCCTTTTGGAAGTCCCCCCAGAGTGGGAACAGTTAACTGGGCCAAGGAGTAAGGATCCTTCTGCTGCCCAGGTGCCTGCATGGGCTCTCCTGGAGGTTGGTCT